ATGTCATATCAGCGGACAGAGGGACGTTGACGCCGAACACCAATCTAGTGGCGGGGCAATTAAAGTCCGACTTGAGAGAGGAGTGGATGCCCAACAGGGCCAGAGGGAGGTGGTCCGTTCAGTTCTCCGGATCGTTTGTAGCGCTAAGTGAGGTCTTCAACTGACGATGAAACCGCTCAGCCATACCGATGGTTGACGGCTAATTGGCTGTAGTGCAGATTCGAGTACAGCATTAAAAGCAGATTAGAGGCTGGAATAGATGAGATTAGAGTTGGGCATTGTGGTCAGTCCTGATAGTGTAGGGGGCACCAGGGATGGCATCCAACGACTGAGGAAAGCCTTAACAACCGTTGGGGCAGCGACCTCGGCAGAGTGATTGATTCCAGCCACCGGGTATATCAGTGCACATAGATGAGGAGATAGGAACTGCCAAGAGACCGAAGCAGGCGCCTACGATGTTTAGGTAGACGTGAATGAACCGTGCATATGGAATGGGGAAGGTGCCGATGGGAGCTTTGATCTGCCGTTGTACTTTACACCGTTGATAGCCAAGACATGCCCTTCTCCGGTAGACGCGGAAGCATTCCGCCATGTTCTTCAGTTGGAGTCCGAATACATCCTCGTCAGAGGGAGAGCCAACACGGCGTTTTACGGTAGCCATGTCGTCAACTGTCAGGCGGACGTCATGTCGATAGCCTGGAAAGGGGATTTGGTCCAGCATATGCTCGGGGTTATATTGGGGAAGGTGGGGATTCCAAAGACAGTTTTGGGTTAAAGTTACGTTTAGGCTTTAGCAAAGGGTCTTCTGATGGGCTTAACATATCCTCCGCTTTGTTCTAGCATTTTTTTATCTTAATAAAATTATTTCATTTGGAGCAAATACAAATCACACTTGCCACGTTATTCTCCACTTCAACACGGTGTCCAATATTACCGCTAAAGATTCAAGATTTAGTAGCTCGAGGACGAGGAGATAGGTCAGTTGGGATGGAGGGAGAAGAAGAAGAAGAAGAAGAGGAAGAAGAAGAAGAAGAAGAAGAAGAAGAAGAAGAAGAAGAAGAAGCGAAGAAGCCTCGCATACTGATCAAATTTATTCGGTTCTAATGTCCTCTGTTGTCTGCATCGGAGGGCGGACGACAGCGGAATATATTCGTCACAGAAAACAAACTGTCCATGGCCAAGAATGAGGTGTGCAGCCCCCCGGCGAAGGCAGGACACGGGGAATCCTGTCTAACGGGATACATGCAAGTAAGAGTTCTACACTCGGCAAATATTGAGGCGATATTTAGTAGACTCCGCGCAAAGCATTGATATGTCAATCGTTTGTTTTATTACTTTACTTGGGTGCAGAAACTGACAGCGCGATTTGAATGATGTGAAATTGGAAGGCGTATACTGGCAGATAAAGGAAAATCTGCCGTCATGGGTAAGTGGCCTCCGGATTAGTTAAGACGGCATGCGTCAGACAAACAAAACAGTAAAACCTCAACTTGAAACAATCCCAGACTCACCTCTATCGCTAACACTAGCATTCGCCCAGACAGAAGCCCTAGCTTAAGCCGTCGGCGAAAGTGAAATAAGTAGACATCTTGTTGTAATATTAATAGTAATAGCGAAGAGCTACATATATAATCCTTATCAAGCCATCGGGTTGTAAAAATAGTTCATTTTATGCGGGTGTTTTACTGGTGCCAAATTGACGACGCAGTAGCCGTTTCATTGCTCCAAGATGCCATTTGGTCAAAAACAATTCAAAAATGACCTTTCAATGCCGTATCTCATTGGTGTTCTTCGCGTTTCCACGTTGTCGAATTGCCAGATTATGCTAGTCTCTCTTAGTTGATCAGCAATATTTGGATTCGCTTGTATGTAGATATTCTGTAAGTTTCGGAACCGTCGCTCGTATAGATGCGATCACGTTTAACTTAGGTGGCCGAACTCTACTATTTAACTTGGCCTTAACAAGCTTTTGATCAAATTTATATATTTACCTCTAACATCCCTTACGGGCAAATACAATGGTTACTCAGACGGCCATTTCTGACTTATTAGACTTTGACAGCCAGCTACGCCCAACCCAGTACGGGGTTTGGGGACACCTGAAGTTCGAACCCGTGTTCTTTGGAAAGCCCAACATTCTGCAAACCGAGCCACGCGATATTTGTCTCGCTCTCTTCGATCGGGCATATTACGTATGTTGGATGCGCGTCCACAGATTGAGCTACAGGATCAAAGATGGTCAAAGAACGCGAAATCGATGCTCAAACGCCTTCAACCCTGAGATTGTGTATGGCTACTTGATGAAAACTAATAATCCAGAGATGACAGTCGAAACTTCACCCCTCTTTGTCGGTAATATCCATCTCTTGCATGCAATTAATCACTCCGATTTGTTGACCCATAACGAATGACCACGTTAGATTCATTCTTTTGTGCTAAATAATGCCAACGCTTGCTTTTCCGTCTGCGTTTTTAACGTAATTCATGACTTGTGTGGCCGTAACTTGTACCATTAGCCACCAATGTTTCCATCGTTTACCTGCCTGCTTATGTCTTTCGGGAAGCTACATCCCTTTAAATTCTGAAGACTCAGTGATCCTAGCATGGGGATGGACAAATGGTAAGGACTAGACTTCAGATTTAGCTTTAGGTTAGGGCTGTTTTCGGGATTTAGATAAAAGGTTGATGATTGGATTAGCGTGTTGTGCCTGTCGCTATATCACATTTATATCATTTTTACGCATCAGGTTCATTTCATCAAGTACAATACTTTAAACATTTGCAAAACATTTACTTTAAAATCGTCCACTTCATATCTGCTCAAAATCGATTCAGAAGGTGACAACCCAACCGCGTAGTAGAAGGAACTAACAGAACGCCGACAGGAAAAGATTCTGCTATTTTCACATTCAAAAACACAGACCACTGACAATACAAATATCAGTTGGTAGACTCGAGAGCGCGGTGTAGAAACCATCGTAAAAAGCGATGCGGAAATGTACGGCAATTTGATCGGAAATGTTGTATCCTACGCTTGACTTCATTCTATCCGCCACTTATTCTCAGCACATGGTGAAGTGTAGATTCTTTTTGTATGTTGTAATCACTCAATGTGCGATCGTCCTCCAACTGTTTGCCCGCAAAGATTAAGCGCTGTTGGTCAGGTGGAATGCCCTCCTTATCTTCAAGACGACACTTCACAATATATATGGTATCTGTCGGGTAGACGCTGAGCGTAATTGTCTTTCCCGTTAAGGTCTTAACAAATATCTCGAAAGCATTCAACTTGCTTTCGGAATCCGTTGACACATAACGCATAGTCGTGAGTATGCTATCATCCTTCAGTCCACACGATGCCAAAGTTTGACTTCCTCTCAACAGTGCTCCATCCAAAACCAACTCATAACCTTGTACCGGCAATCGACACAAACGCCAGAGCTGCTCTTTCAGGCTGTCCACGGTGTCCTTCTCATTGGCCCATAGCCTCACCACACGTCCGGTCAACAGTCTAACACTGAGATATATATCTTTCGAAAAGTCCAAAGGAAGACAGAGGTATATAGTACAACGATTCTTAATGCCATAGTCTTTCAGCTGGTGCGAGTCCTCAAGAATTAATCCATCAAATGTTAAGGTTTGTTTATCCACTGGGATTCGTTTATGGCGCTGGATCCTACACTTAATGCCCGAGACTGGTTCAGAATCCACTACATCCAGTTCGAAGTCGCCAACGCGCTTGCATAGGATGTGCAGCATGCATGCCATTTTTCGTGTGAATGAACTGTGCGGAGTATTTGCCGACGACGCTCAATGAAAACGACCAATTGGAGCACGGGTCTGTCTTCACGTAGAGCAGAATGATGACTCTGCCAATTTTTCAGCGAACATTTGATCTTCCATTGAATGTCTTCATGGGGGCGTAGCAGAGATTTGATGCTTGCTCGCAGCAGCGTTTCGCATGTGTGTTTTCTATACCTGAAAAGTATGATGTTAGCCGAGATTACGAGGCTACGGCTGACATTTAATATTGCCAACAGAAGCGAAGAGACGAGTCCTAGGAAGTAGTCTTGAAGAAGGAGACACGATCGCTGGGACAAGAGCTTTATTAGCCTGAAGTTTCGGATTCCTGCTCGACTCCATCGTCAGAGACAACGGCAGATACGGGTGATTCATGCACAAGGGGCTGCAGTATTTACAGGATGCAGTCGCCACGCTACCGCATACCTATGAGCATTCACGGCTCCGCTCTTCATCCGCGTGGCTAATTACTCCACCTAGACGAAGTCTCAGCACTGAGTCTGGAAGGGGAATTTCATTGCACTTGTTAATAGACTGGGGCCAGTAAACCATCATTCAAGCAGCTCCCGGCTTACGCGGTTGTCACCTCTTGCGAGAATTTCGGCCTCATCGAATTTGAATGTGTGGCCGGATCTCGTCGAATGAGTCGCAACTTGGGAGCTGACGTCATTTCTCTGCACCGTTGCAGCGTGTTCGGCCATTATCGTTCGGAGCTGTCTTCCAGTTTCTCCGACGTAGTTGCTTTTTCCGCAACTGCACCAGATCCGATAAACGACTCCAGACGTTTCTAGCCGTGGAAGCGGGTCTTTCCGTTCTATTACAAGACACCTTATGGTTGAATCCTGTCTATGTGCGACTGCAAACCCAGGCGGTGCGGGAGGGGGAGCGACAGTTTCCGAATCATTCTTGACCTACAGATGCGCTCACCAAAATTTGATGTCCGTGCGGCGTGGTCTTTCGTCCTTTTTTGGGCATTGACCTGTTGCCATGTTGCGCGGGTAGCCGTTGGCTTTGAAGACCCGTCGGAGGTATTGTTGTTCGGCAGTCTTGTCTTCCGGCTCACTGCAGTGCGTTTCGACACGCCGATAGAGCGTCCTTACACAACAGCGTTTGTGGCTGATTGGGTGGTTGCTGTTGAAGTTCAGTACTTGCATCGTATTTGTGGCTTTCCTGAACACTTTGGTCTTTATTTCACCCCAATCTTAGCGGCATACGAAGAAATCCAGGAAGATCAGCTGGCTGTTCTCTTCCTCCTCCATCGTAAATTGCATGTCCTGGAACACCGAATTCAGACGTTCTTTGAATGTCAGCAGTTGATCCCGTTCGATGACGACAAAGGTATCATCCACATACCGGTCCCCGAACTTCGGCTTGTGGTGTTGGAAGACCAGCGACTCTAACCGCTGCAGGACCGCCTCGGCGTTGAACCCCGAAATCGGCAAACCCATTGGTGTGTCCTTCACCTGTTCGTAGATTGTCCCGTCGAACGTGAAGTGGGTCCTGAGACAGAACTTCAGGAGCTGAAGGATCTGGGCGTGTTTAAGACGATTCTCCGTTTCATCGTATTTGCTTTGTAGAAGCCGCTCGATTGTGTCGATTGCCATATAATGGGGAATGGAAGTGAAGTTGGACGTGACATCAGAAGATACCATGACCTCATTTGGATGGAGGCTTACCCCTTTGAGTTTCTCCAGGAATTGTGCTGACGTAGAGACCGTGGTGTCTGACTCAGCGGTCAGGAACTTGAGACGCCGGAACAGCCATTTAGCCAGTCCGTACGTTGGAGTCCCTTTGAGCGACACGATGGGTCGGAGAGGAGCGCCGTCTTTGTGCACCTTAGAGAGGCCATAGAATCGGGCCAAAGCCGTATCTTGGGGTCTCGCCATGCGCCTGTCCGTCGGTGTTATTGCACCTTAGTTTTCCAAGGCCAATAACGTTGCAATAATTTCGCGTGTCAGCGTTTTTTTTTCGTTGCACATGGGACAAAGAACTGTCGGTCCTCCTGTAAACCTTTGGCTTTTTGAAGGTAGTCTTTTCTGTCCGGAACAACTGTGAAGCGCCTCTTGTCCACTGGCACGATGCCCAATTCTTTGTCGGCCTTGAGTTCTCTAAGCGCACCACGTTCGACCTTGGAAAGCACATCCCGCGGCCTGATGGCCATCCGGAGCGGCGACACTTGGTGACGGATGAGGCTCTTACTCTCCCCCGCTGCCTCCGTCTGACAAAGGATTGATTCCACTGCTGCAATCATGTTAACAGGTTTGGCGTCAGCCGTGTTAAATGAAGCTTCGTGCCGTAAAACTTGCATTAGATCCTTCGTCAGATCCTTTGACGACAGGTTGTGCACCAGTTTGTGGTTTCTGGGCGAGATTGGATTGGGCAGCTTTCGGAATTTGTTCTCCAGTGCTGCGTCGCGGGCTTGTGCAGCTATCCTCTGCAGGAGCAGATTTGTACCGATCTCACCCATGAACTCACAGCATCTGGTCTTTTCTTGGTCAATCCTTTGACGGTACTTGCGAAGTCTCGCGTGGCAATCTTCGAGGAGGACTCGGATCATCCTTCTGCCGTGCTGAAATACTGCTCGTCTCGCCAAATCCCTGTTAACCGGGGGCTTGTATGAAACACACTTCCGTAACACATTATTGTCGAGACACCTGTTTGCTGACGACATAAAAATCTGGAAAGTCATCCAGAATGCTGCCGATGAGACCAACTTCCAAGAAAATCTTTGTCGACTGGACGAGTGGTCCCGCAGATGGCTCTTGTCCTTCAATTTGAACAAATGCACCATTCTGCGCCTCGGAAATCAGACCCCTAGTACGCGGCAATACCATTTGAACGGAATGCCACTCCGAGAAGCAGAAACTCAGAAAGGTCTCGGAGTTTGGGTTGCAGACAGCCTAAAGCTTTCTCCACAATGCTGTAAGGCGGCCAAGGCCGCAATCTTAATGCTATATGCCATTAAGCGGGCATTCGTAGTTTTCGATGAAGACTGCTTCACCAAAGTCTTCGGCACGTTTATAAGGCCCCATCTCGAATATGCAATTCAGGCCTGGAGACCGTGGACGCATCAGGATTACAATCTGCTCGAAAGGGTGCAGAGACGAAGAAAAAAATTAATAAGAGGTCAAAGTGCACTGCCATACGAGATCCGCTTAACTAACCTTAATCTCTGTCCTCTGAGTTATAGGCAGTTGCGCGGAGACATGATACAAACTTTCCGTATCGTGCGCAGCTTGGATTGTGCGTTTCGGCGCGATGACTTTTTCCAACTCGCCACTACAACTCACCTCCGGGGACATCCCTTCAAGCTACATGTGTCACAGGGTAGACTGAATGTGAGAAAATATTTCTTCTCCAACCTTGTCGTGGAAACGTGGAATAACCTGCTCGCGACGGTTGTTATGTCTCAATCTGTGGAGACATTTAAATGTCGCCTTGACAGATATATGCTGCAGCAACAAGCGGACTAAGTGACTTTTTAGCCATGTGACTAGTGACATATGTGAATCAATGTATGCATTCACTTAACGCTGTGATTTCTTCACAATTTTGCTTGTTTATCGATCTTTATCATGTAAAAATAGGGAGTTCGAAGGCGTAAGCCTATTTCTCTCAAATACATTGACTGACTGACTCACCTGTGCAGAAACCGGATCTGCGAATACGTGGAGGCCTCCCGAAGGGCGAAGGTTTCCCATCACCGGGCCGATCGGAGCGCATCACGCCCAAATACATTGCCAATAGAAGCGAAGAGACGAGTCCTAGGAAGTAGTCTTGAAGAAGGAGACACGATCGCTGGGACAAGAGCTTTATTAGCCTGACGTTTCGGATTCCTGCTCGAATCCATCATCAGAGACAACAGCAGATACGGGTGATTCATGCACTAGGGGCTGCAGTATTTATAGGATGCAGTCGTCATGCTACCGCATAACACACCAAGTGCGAAGATCTCGGATGAAGGGGGGAGCCGTGAATATTCCTAGGTATGCGGTAGCATGGTGGCTGCATCCTGTAAATACTGCAGCCCCTTGTGCATGAAGCACCCATATCTGCTGTTGTCTCTGACGATGGAGTCGAGCAGGAATCCGAAACGTCAGGCTAATAAAGCTCTCGTCTTAGCGATCCTGTCTCCTTCTTCATGACATTTCTTATGAATATTTGGGCCAAAGTCAATCAGCCACAGCGAAATATTCGCGTAATTTCCATAAATTGCCAGCTGGAAGCCATTTATTTATCCAATTGTTGCGTGATGCACCATCCTTGGTTACAAAGTTATTAGCGACGTGTTTCGCCGACATTCTGACACTGGATGGCACAGCTGCGGAAGGTGTCGGCTCACCGGTGTGTTTCGCAGTGTTCCTAAACTGCCAACATCCAGTTTCTGAAAATTTTAGTCTGTGCATGTAAGTCCGCAATGGCCTGACTTTATCCAAGTTAGCGATTAAATTCTGAGGGAAATATAAATCTTCATTATTAGTTTTTACAGGAAGGCCACTGAGATTGCAATTAATCGGGTCTGAGGAAAGTAATTACAGTAGGTGGGCTAACTCATAAAATGTCAACCGAAATGCGTTTTCTTTTCGAAAAAATATTTTATGTAGAGTTGTTAAGCCAATCAACATACAGCATAATTTTATAATAAGTCAGTCACCACAGGATGCTGGCTTTCGATCGAACTTCTTTCCTGCCGCAGGCAAAAACAACATTCTGTAAAAAATGACAACTTAAGTGACATGCATTTTTCTGCTTGATATTCGATGCCCACAAAAATTCAATTATATTTCACGGAAAACATGCATAAAAATATTAATTATTTCGCTCATTCCGTAGAAAATTGCGTCTTCTTTCAATCCTGTACTCGAAGAATTGGTATAATTCGGTTTATAAAAACGTTTCCAATTCCCGAATAATTTTGAACCCGCTCTACCGTTACACTTGAATTCAGGGTTTCCAATCTACAAGCCGTATATTTTCCGATTACGGACAACCACACATTTCTCTACGGTAATAAAGGGGGACCATTTAGGTGGCATAAAATTTTGCAGTAGATTTGATCCATATTGTTAACTTTACAAGCCACATTGGTAAATGCTGAGACATGACGATATATGAACGGCCAATTCACGGTATTTAAAAGTCCCACAATTAGAAACTTTTTAAAACCGAATTATGTCAATCCTTCGAAAATAAAATTGGAAAAAGACGTAATTTTCTACAGAATGAGTAAAATAATGAATATTTGTATGCATGTATTCCATGAAATATAATTGAAAATTTGAGGGGCATCGAAAATTAACAAGAAAAATTCATGCAAAATAAGCAGTCATATTTTTCAGAATGTAGTTTTTACATGCAGAGAGAAGGAAGTTCATTTTAAAGCTGGCATCCTGAGGTAACTGAAATATTATAGAATGATGTCGCAGACCGACTAATTTAACAACGCCACTTAACTAATCCTTCCGAAACTAAACGTTTTTCGGAATTTCCGTTGATATCTCATGAGTAAGCCCACCTACTCTAAAAAACTCGCATATCTGACATATGTTGTTTAATAAGTCTGGCGAGTTTCGGAAAACCTGTACTAAGTGCATATGGTTTAATCTTTACCGGATTGGGTATGGGGCAGACGAAGTTGACCGTAGTCATAACCTTGACCACAACCTTAAACATTACCCTATCCCTAACCCCAGCCTTAACCGAGGCCTAATCCCCAAAATATCCCTTCATCCTGCTGCCGTAATATGAAAGATTAGATTCATATTTTATTCCTAGCATGCTGAGGTTGTGGGAGTGCACGCTTATCGACGTAGCAGACGTTACTTTCCCATTATATGCTGTTTACGCAAAAGAGCATTTTAAATCTAGCCTTTCAATAAGCACTTTATTTTGATGTAATTCGAGTTTGCAAGATGTCGGATTATTCAATTATTCGAAAATCTCTTATGTTATCAGTAAGGTCTAGTCAGTGAATATAGAAACCGTCGTCCGTATGGACAGCATTCGCGCCTGGATTAATTGGCCTAGGTATACTATTTCACGGAGAGCTAACATGCTGCGTTTGGCTCTGGTGATGAACTTATCTGTTCACAGATCTTGACCGCCGGTTACGAATAACTACTGGCCTCCCCACATTTTTGACTTCGTGGTTTTCATAAGCAGATGGAAATTATCCCTTTCGGCAAAAGGAGCTTATCGACAACGACAGTAGCAACTGAGTGTGGCCATTTCTGGCTTACTTTCCTTCGTTCGCCAGTCGATAAGGGATTTTGTGGGCACCTGAGAACGAACGCATGTTCTTTTGGTAAAGGAGTGCTAGTAAGTCCAACGTTCTGCCAACTGAGCCCCGAGCTTATTGTCCTGTCTGTTACGATCAGGAATAATAAGTAGGTTAAAGGTGTGTACACAGACTATCCTACGGGATCAAAGATAACCAAAGAAAGCGAAGTCGAGGATCAGGTGCGGTAAAACATGAGATTGGGTGTGGTCTGATGATGACGAATAATAATCCAGAAAGAGTTTTCCCATTTTCACCAATCTTTGCCGGTAATCTCACCCGCCAATAGAAAACTGCAAGTCCTTGAGCCGCTGACGTCGGGACTCTGGATCCAGCCTCTGGAATCGTTTGTTCAGCAACCCGATTAGTGATTGCACCCTCAGCGCTTGTATGCACTTAATTTCCACCCACAACGAATGATAACGGCAGATCCACTCCACAGTACAGAAGATGTCCTATCGCATGAACTTTCATGACACCACTGTTGATAGGCGACCACGAATGATTACCGCTGTCATCAGTCTGACATGATGCAGGCCTAGGTGCACACATATCCGCAACTTAATCCCTGTCACAATAAGGTGGCATTTCCCGCTGTCATTGACTGTGCCACGCGATAAAAAGGACCAGTCGAATCATGGGCCTGTCCACATCTCCCGCAGAACGGTAACCCTGTCAATTTCTCGGTGAACACTTGATCTTTCTCTAATTCATCTCATCGGTGAGAGGCACAGCCATGATGCATCTTCGCAGCACCGCCTCGCTTGAGTGAACATAAAACTTCGAATATGTGTCGTTAGGCGACTCACTCTTCTTAGTCTCTGCTGGTAACTGCCTACGCCTCTTCAAAAATCGAAGGTGAATCGAGGTGCGGACTGGCAGAGAGCAGTCATTTCGATCTCGCTCGCGCCATTGGCTTCGAAATTTTTTTGGCAAACAGCTAACCCAACACTGTCACCCGTCACACCACGCCTGCGCTCCTTTCAAGTGCACAAGATACTCCCAACGGCAATGGAAACTGAACCGAATAAATCAGGTTCTGTTTGGCGCCGAAACCACATCCAGTATATGATATGCTTACGTGCGGCTAATTATATGCAGAATGTTATAGTAAAATGGATTTAGATTCACATATTTATTGCTTACACAATATAGGCTTTAACTGCCATTTGTCTCCTTGCCAAACTGTCCTCCCCATGCTTATCGTACTCACCCTGCCTCACGTAAAGCCCTAACCTTTGACCACCTTTGCTATCCCATGTCGCTTCCGCACCCATTGC